TATATATATATATATGTATATATATATATATATAACAGAATCACCAGAAAAGTTAGAGTATTTGCCCAAAATTTCCTCCAAAGGCAAAGAAAAAAGCACCCTCACAGGGCTTACTCAGAATGGGCAATGATTTCTAAGGTGTGCAGAATTAAGATCTTGGCTAATTCCATCTCACTCATTCCACTCATTCAATGCATTGGTTAAAACATATCCAAAATTTAAACAGACAAAATTTAAAAAGACAAAAAAAGTAAAACCCCCAAATCACTATCATCCCTCTTCGCACTTGTTTTAATCAACTATTTTATCTTTTTTTTTTTTTTTTTTTAAGTCTTCACTGGAAAACCCCATTCCACCCAACAACAAACACAGTAGACTTGATATATTTTGAATACGGCAACAAGAAAGCTAGCAAAACCAACCGAATGTCCATTTATTTGCTTCCCCAAATCACTGTTAGAACTCAAGTGTACACAACAAAAAGCCAGAACTCCAAGCGATCACAGTTTTTAAGGGGACTCACCAGAGTTGGGGTCAGAGTTGCCGTCTGCTTCGGTCCTCTTGTCCGGAGAGGCCTGGTCGTAGAATTCGTCCTGTGGCTGAACCAGAGGAAGAGGGTGTGAGATCAGGGTGCCACTACCCACCGGCTCGTGGTCTCCTAGACCACTGTCACTGCAGCTTTCCTGGGAGCCATCGGGGAGGTGAAACGTAACCCGGCGCTGCGACTACAAAGAAGACCACAGGACACGCGGATTAACACTCCTCCCGGAGAAAAGGGGCGCGGCGGAACACAAAATCAAAACAACTTTCAACACATGATACAATGTAAAAGCAAAACAGATAAAACTTGGAACAAAGCTAGGAACGAAATTTAGCACTTGCTATTTACTGTATCATGTCTAACTTGCAAAATACAAGAAGAATTACGGTCTTGTTTAATTGAAGGACAAAAAAGGCACTAATGGTAAACAGCTGAAAATTACAGCAAGAAAAGCAAAAAAGGAATAGACCAGTTGTCAACGTTAAAAAAAAAAAAACCTTGAAATAAGCAGAAATATGCAAATATTTGTTCCAAAGATCTGAATAAATACATAGACAATGTGACATTCAGTTTCTTTTGAATGAAACAGGCATTTTCTTTATTTAATGATTTTAAGGTAGTTTTTGCAAAGAAGTCATTATTGCCCATTGGCTCAGATATTACTACCACTCACTGGTTATAGAACATCCCAGTAGAAAGATGCTTACAGTATTATTTTGACATCTATTTCTACAATGTCACTATCGGAAGTGACCTAAAATATGTGCATGGGTACTTCAATAAATTTTAGTGTTTTAAAAAATAAAAGTGTGCATTTCAGCACAGATTGCTGCTTAGTACTCTTGGTAAATGTTCTTTTAGCTGATGTAATCCATGAGATAGGAGAATATTTACAGCTGTGTGGGGTGGAGATTTATGACTTATGGAATTATAGGAGAGTAGTAAATTTGCGCTGTATGTCTGGCTGCACCTAATCTTCATTCTGCTTTAACAGTCAGAAGACCTTTCAATATCATGTCACATGTGACCGTTTTTACTCATGTTTAACAAAATTGTGAATGCATAAATAATAAAGTATATAAAATACAAAAGCGTAATGTATAATCACTTCATAATACCTAACATTTGTGTGTTTTGCGGAGAGGCAATTTATAGACTGTAACAATTCCAAAGAAAAAAGAATGCAATTAGACACAAAATGCTATAGATAGATATACTGCCACTCTATAAATGCATTTTTATAGACAACAATAGGACATAGCGTATTTCCTATGAGTCACTGGTTCAAATCCAGCTCAGAGTCATAATGGAGAAGAGTTGATACCACTTTATTGCTGTTCAATGACCTCTATGAAACTATTTGATAGTTCAGTACATTTTTAATGAACTGATGCCGACATCACATAAACTATAATCATAAACGGTGCTAATTGAGTCTATTGTAGCACATTTCACCTTCATGCACAACTATCTCATTCACCCCTCAATGTGTTTTAAAACGTGCCTAGGTGAGTGCTCCACAATATGCAAGCCAGACTTGAATATTAAGATCTTGGATAGGAAGGAAAATGCTACCATTTACTATAGTGTTTCCTCTCTTGTGTGAATTTAACCCTTTAGAGAAAACCAGTAATGTAAGTATTTTTTTGTTTATGTTTCAATATGCCCTTGTTTCATCAGTATCCTTTGGTGATAAACACAGCGTTAAGGTCGATGACCAGGCTGCCCATTATACAGTACAGTCAAACATAGCTTTTAAAGTGAGTGGCCTATTAAAAAGTCTGTAGTTTCAGTGATTACAGCATCTTTGGTATTACCTCTGGACGAATACCTCAGGTTAGTAAAAAAGTAGTCAAATATAAGCGAAAGACAATGGGACAGATTATTCTTTAGTCTTTCTAAAGCATTTCCAGAGGTCCATAAACCATTATAAAGTATACATTCCACAGACAGAAGAAAAAAGGAAAATCTCCATGTATGATATTCTTCTAAGCATAATTAATATTGTTTTAATTACTTTATATTTTTCCCGCTGAGAAATGTGAATCTGCAGCCCCAGTAACACTTGAACCCAGCAGTTCTCACACAACAGCCATTAGAACGAGCATTTATTAAGCACCCACTGGTACACAGCCTGGCACTATGATTTCACTGAGAAGAAAAATACTCTTTTCAAAACTGTTTCAAATACAACAAATTAAATTCCATCTCACATATATTATACTATGATCTTCCTTTGCCACTTTCTAAGTGAGAATAAGCAAAGACAGAAATCTATTTGCAGTGGTATAGTAGATAGTAATTTATTTGCAATAGGACAGTGTAAATTAGAGTGGTACAATGCTTAAACTACAGTGGCTTATGGAACTATTTCCTAATTAATTTGACTCAAAGATATTAAGTTTTAAGTGGCAAACCTGTGCAGTTTATCAGTCTAATGGGAATTGGGGTGGGAGGTGGCATATGGACTAAGAATTGGAACATGGATATTATGGTATGAAGCAAACTGATCAAGCAAATCAAACTATAATTTATCATCGTAATGACTGATGCAAGTACGACAATGTCTGAAATATCAAGGTAGATGTAAGGAAAGAATATGAAGAAATTGAAATGCAGGAAAACAAGGATCCATGAAGTGTTATGAAATAAGAGGTGCAGGTGACAGCAAAGACTCGACAGACTTGCTGAGATGTTGCTGAAGAACACCAGCCGAGAAAGCCAGAACCAGACCTCTTGGCTAGGAGCCCTTGCTCTGCAGAGACTGGCCCAGGGCAAGTGACTCTCTTTGAATGAGTTCCTGGCTTTGTAAAATGGAGAAGATAGTGCCTTCACTGGAGAAGTGTTGTAAGTCTCGAGCAGATAAAATAAGAAGCATCGTTGGTGCATAATATATGACACATAGTAGATACTCAGTAAAAGTACTTAACAATTCTTCAAATTTACTGCTGCATATTCTTTTAACCTGCAGAGCTATCAATGTTTAGCTAGTTTTAAGGTTGTGATTCCTGGGGTGCCTGGGTGGCTCAGTGCTTTAAGCATCTGCCTTCAGCTCAGGTCATGATCTCAGGGTCCTGCTCAGCAGGGAGCCTGCTTCTCCTTCTCCCTCTGTGATCTCTTGTTCTCACACTCTCTCAAATAAAAAAAAAAAAAAAAAGATGTGATTCCTTCACAACAGAAAAATAATATTGTTATTTTGTAAGGCAACTGCCTAGATCCCATAATCTTGGCATGTTTCCCAAAGTGGATGCAGATCATGTCAGCTCAGAGTCTTTGTGAGGGGATGCTGTTTTTGGTGGGAGCAGCAGATGAAGATGGACAGTTTAGAACACATGATTTCTCCTCTGAGAAAGTGAAGGTTTTCCCATTATCCTTTCAAGAAACCTATAATTGTTTGCATATCTGAAGAGAGAAAGAGGGGTAAGCTTTCTTACTGCCTCTGGGAATGTTGCTCCTGGGTTATCCCCATGGAAATATACCCAATTTGTGTTATAAATACAGTCAAGCCCTGCCTGACTGAACTGGGACAACATATGTTATCATGAGACTACTTCAGACTTTCCAAAGCCTCTGCACTTTTGTTTTCCAAAAACCTCTCTCTTACCCATTCCATTTTCTCCCATGGTAAACATTATTATTATTATCGGCTATGTCTTGTTAACGGTTTGAATGTCACATTTATTTATCTGATTTATCACTAACAAGTTAGCTCTAGGTCCCTGGCTGCCCTGACGAGGAATAAGATGGGAACCAGTAACTACTAAGGCTGCTTCATGTTATTTTATCTCAGGGCTGCTGATATGAATTCTAACCATGCAAAACTTTCATCAGAAATTCTGTACTCTACACAAGCATAAAAGGCCATGCATACAAATATAGGTTCAGGATGCTGCAAGTCGGGAGATGCCACACTGGTTTAATTTAAGAAATATCACCAAACACTTTTACAATAATATTTCTTGCAGGTTAGTAGAAAGGAAAGAGAGGGGAAATTCAAGAAGCTCAGGGAAGGTACACACGTTCCTGTATTGGGCTCTGTTCTTCAAGAGTCACTAAAAGAACTCTGAGTCACCTAGGAAATCTCAATCATTGGCTGAATGCTTCCTTTGTGTGTTTCTTACTGGTACAGAATATTATTCACCAATGAATGACTCACATTCAAGTCTATAATCCCAGCCCCACTAACCTCCTGGGATTTCTACGTGCAAAGATTTGATGGTCAAGTTCATTGTGTCTTTGAATAAAATAGCAAAAACACAGAAATGAGTGACATGCCTAATACAAATAGATATTTAATAAATAAATTATATATCATACAATTGAACAAATCACAATACTTAACATTTTATTAATGTTTATTGATGTAGAAAATATAATCTATTCTTAAGTATAAAAATCAGGTTAGTAAGGATTTTGCTTAGTTGAATTACATTTCATTAAGGTGTTTTTGGGTATGAATGTGCATAAGCTAAGATCTGGTTATGGGTGCACTGTTTAAAGTACTATTGTCTGGTCACAGAATATGGCATTTTAAAATTTCATTATTTTGACCGCACTAAAATTTGTAGGGATTATTTTGGCAATCCTAATACTTATGTATTCCCCTTCATCGCTTATAGTGAAAAAAAGAACAGAAAAAGTCTAGCAGATAGGAGACAGGCTTTCTTTGAGCTAAGGAATGCCAAAGAAGCTTACTATCCCTGCTCTGCTATTCTAACTTCTATTCTTTACTTTCTCTACCTAAGATTTGTAATTATTGCAGTTAAAAATTCTTATCTTCTGGGGCACCTTGGTGGCTCAGTGGGTTAAATCTCTGCCTTCAGCTCAGGTCATGATCTCAGGGTCCTGGGGTCCAGCCCCACATCATCCGGCTCTCTGCTCAGCGGGGAGCCTGCTTCCCCCTCTCTCTGCCTGCCTCTCTGCCTACTTGTGATCTCCGTCTGTCAAATAAATAAAATATTTTTTAAAAATTCTTATCTTCTCCTCAAATCACAAAATAACAGCACAAATTTGGCACACTAAGCCAATTATTACAAGACAAATAAACAAGTTCACTAGTTAATAACTGATACTTAAAATAATTATTCTCTCTAAAATTATACATCGATATTATGGAAGTAGGAAAAAAAGTGCTTTAGAATTGTTTAAATATGGTTTCATTTGTGCAGAATTCCTTAAATACCTTTTCAAGGAAATATTCCTAACTCCGATTTAGTTCTTTTAACCCCATTTAAGAAATACTGATGCATCATTCATCTATCTAATCCCTAAATAGTATACATACACACAAACACAAACTGCCAGAAATTATTCATGATAAAGTAAAAAACAAAAATGATCCTAAAGTTCCACATGTGAACTTGTTTTTCCCTTACCCCAGCATTAAATCCAGCATTAAATCCAATGAATATATGCTATTTATTTATATGAAATAATATTTTCTTATACACCTCTTCTCAAAGTAGCAAAGGAATCTACCCCAAAAAAGGTTAAAAAGAAAACTGGAGACTGGAAACTGAAGTTTAATACAAACATTTCTAATAATATTAATTGGAAACAGTTGGACCTTTCTTATTTTTAAGAGACGTATTTTAACTGAGATTTAAGAAATAACAGTTATGGGGATAGTCTTAGGTTGCAAGCTCTGAGAATGAGGTCGGTGGGGCAAGGGTCGACAACCTAGAGCTTCTCCTTTGTAACAAAGAATATCCAGATGGTAGGCCTCAATATCCTTGGAATGTTCTGGCCATGCAAGGAAGGAGTGGCTACAGATACCTGCTAGGCTAGTTGCTACATTATAAAAGATTGTTGCATATCGATTTTAAAAGGGTATGCTTTGTCCTGTCTGCTGCTCCTGGACTCCCTGCCTGTAAGTTCCCCCAATAAACCTATGTCTTAATTGCTACCTCTGGGTCTTTTCTTTAGCCTTGCCAGGCCATCAACCACCCTTCACTTTGAGTCCCCTGGGATGCGGCTACACAATGACAAAAGAACACATTTTCAACTAAAACTACTAATTTAATTCAATAGGAAGTTCCTCAACAGCTTCTTGCCATCTAAAATCAATGCACCTTTACCTTCAGTAAAATCCAGAAATGAGTGAGAGTCCTGGTAAATTAGAAAGTAAGGTAAAAAGGGCCCCCAAAGCAATCCGTCATTGTAAGTTTAATTTGCTATTGCTCAATACTTGTAGGTTCAACTAAGGGACACTATTATTAACACACACATGTTCTTTTTCATTCATATTTGAGAGATGAGATCCAAAGTGGTAAATCAAGAAAAGATTTCTTGATCTACAACTTAGGAAAATTACTAGCAATTATGAGTAAAATGAGACCATTATCAAAAACAAAGAACAGTTTTGAAGGACAAAATCATAAGGAACTTTTTTGATGGGTGATAAATGAAATGTTTTGAGTACAGAATTATTTTATAATGGTCATTTTATGATTTGTACCTGACAAATTGAGTCATTCTCCTCTTCTGTTTATTGGAAGTACATATGATAAAAACAGTTCTACTAATGTAGACTTTATTTATCTTAGCTGCAAATTACTTAGAGATTTTCCATCTATTTTAATGTTACTTTTTTTTTCAGATGAGGAAATAAGGTAAAGTGACATGTCTATGTAGGTTGCAGTGGAAACTAGAACTCTATTTTCTGATTTTCAACAGGAAGCACTGCTCATTCCTTCATCCTTCTATTTAATAATTGTTGAACACCTACTCTATGCTAGACACCACTCTAGCTGCTGAGAATAAAACGGTGAACAAGACAAAAACTATAGTCCACTAATTCCTAAAAAGTCAAATTTTATTAATCTAGTTTCTGATGTTTTTGGCCAGCAGCTTTTAAAATGTGATCTCCTAATTCTTGCAAACTCTGCAGACTTAGGCAAGGTCAGTGCATGAGTGGGAGACCTTCATTCATTAAAAATAGCCAAGGGAGAAAGAAAAGAAGGAAGGGGAGTGCTTTCTGAGTTTTTGCCACAACAATCCCTAGATCTGTTGCCATCCTTGGATTGGAATTTATTGCCAATTTGTGAAAATAAAAAATAAAAAAGCTAAAAGAGTAACCGAGACTGTTAGAAAAGGCTATTCCTGACTCAAATACAGAATCATTGTTAACTTTGCATATCCTTGAACAATTCCTTTTCCGTCTCCAATTAGATAAAGAAATGTTAACAATCTCAAATAAGAATTGATGAAATCAAACGCATCGAGTTTTTCTGAGGAACATATACACTTGACATTCATGAGCTTATAATGAATATTTACTGGATGAAGATGATTTACCCAGAATTGAACGAGGAAATCTAAAGAGGATGGAGTAGAAATGAAGTATCATGGTTCATCCTCCAAAGGTGATTTCCCATGGGAAAAGTTCTCTGTCTCCCCAGCAAAAAGTTTACTGCCTTATTTTAAAAGTAGCAAAATGAAACGTGATAACAATCTATTAACGGGCAGTCTTTTCCTTCGTTTTACTTTCAGTGTTTAACATCTTAGAGTAGTTGGAGACAAATGGGAAGGTTCCACTCATGTTTGAGAAAGACGTATAACAACTTCCCTGACCATATGTGAGGAATGTAAAGGTGTCAGCAACTTTAAAATGATTTTATATTCTAAGTGATATCTATGTTATCAATAGATAGGACTAGGGTGTGGATGATTACTGACCATATAAACCTGAGTAGCATTTTCAGGGGAAGTGCTGAGCGGTCATCTATGTTCTACCTACTGCTCATCAACTAGTTGGCTACTGGCAGCCAAGCCACTGTTTAATTTCAGGGCAGATCTGTCAAGTTCTGTTTGACCTTCACTACTCAACTGGAAATTTAAAGGAGGAAACTTGTTTCAGCTTGTGTGGGAAACCCACATTAACTTAATCTTAGCCCATTTAGTTTGTAATCTTACTATAAAATGACCCTCAAAGTAAGGACCTATGTGTTTTTGTGCTTTATAAATAAAGTGGATTGACTACCTCTTAGAAGTGCCTACGGGCTGGAAGGCTCATATTAATATAACATGTGGTGAAATTTTTAATATGGTCTTATCTTCATTTCCTTTTGATCTCAGTATGATTTGTGAGAAAGGTAGGTCGCATTTCTCTTCCTGCACAAAAACAATTGGTAGCTTCAAGAATAAAAGTAAATTCTTTGTACTCTTTTTGGGTGTAAACTTGGTGGTTGAACTTTAATACTGGGAAAAAACATAAAACAGGAATCTCCTCCCTAAATCAAAACAGTTTGAATCAACTTTCTTCTTTGTTTTGGTGATGTGACCCCATCCTTAAATTTCTTCTGGGGTCCCCGGAAAGTAGAGAGGATTAAGAATTGTCAGCATTGTTGGCTATTTTGCTTCTTATATTCTTATTCAGTTCCTGCTATCAGAGAACAACCTCAACCTATTTCTCACGGTTAAATGTTGCCCAGTAGGAAGGCAGCACTTTATCTTTATTTTATACAAAATATAAAATGACTATATTAAACAGGAGCAGCTGCTCCTGAATCTGTAAGCAGAATTTTTGCATCTACAAATTATATGTACAGAAATAGGGAAGGAACGACTCAGCAAGAGTCCTTTCCAATTTAGTTTTCTAGTATAAACAAACCC